CTCATGTAGCTGGAGTATAACATGCCAAAGCAATGATTTAAGGCTGTCTGTCTGTCTGTCTGTCGTCTGTCTGTCTCCTTCCTCTTCTCTCCCAGTACACCCTCTGCCTCTTCTACCTTCCAAACGGGCTCTGATGGTTTCTGGTTCCAACCCCAAGCATTGTCACCAGTGTCTATGTCCCAAAGTGAGTTAGTTAAGGTCTTTGGGCCTCTCATGCCTCTGCCATGCCCTGGGTGGTTCCCGCCTCCATGTCTCTCCTGGGCAGTTGAGAATGGAGGATGGAATTGGAGATGTCTGTATCCTTCTCTATACCCTTCCTCCTCCATCCCTGCCCAGGAGAACTCCCGAGGGACAGGAGACTAGAGGGCACTCTAGACCTTCTCCGGTGTACACACTGTGTTCTCAGTGGGGGAAATCTCACTGGGATCTTAGTCACAGGATCCCCCTGGGGTGAACACTGCTGAGGGGGAGCTCCAAGTTCCGCTGGCCTTTTTTTGTCTTTTCTACATATCCAACAGCCAACATGTGGTCTAGTCCTCTACGTGCTTACCCCAGCACCCATTGCTTTACCTCTCTCTGCCTTCACTCCCTCTTATAGCCCAGGCTGTCCTGGAACTCGCTCTGTAGACCAGGCTGGCCTCGAACTCAGAAATCTGCCTGCCTCTGCCTCCCAAGTGCTAGGATTAAAGGCGTGTGCCACCACTGCCTGGCAGATTTATTTATTTTATATATGTGAATACACTGTAACTATCTTCAGACACACATCAGAAGAGAGCGTTGGATCTCATTACAGATGGTTGTGAGCCTCCATGTGGTTGCTGGGAATTGAACTCAAAACCTCTGGAAGAGCAGTCAGCGCTATTAGCCACTGAGCTATCTCTCCAGCCCCTGCGCCTTGAATTTTGAGTATTCCCAAAATATCAGACAGTATGAGGAGGGACCACAGCAGCATCGTACTGAGTGATAGGTGTCACACTGAGGCAGGCATTGTCTGGTACTCATTGCCTTTCTTTCCCTCCCTCTCACTTCCTCTCTTTCTCTTCCTCAAGCCTATTACCATAATAGCAGAGCTAAGGACAGGACAGCTTAGCTCTGCAGCTCCAGGTTCTGCAGATTCTGTTGCTAAGGAAACCACTTCTTGGTTACCAGGCTGGGTACATTTGTCTCACTAGGCCTGGATCCCACAGAGCCACCCCCACTTTGCAGGATGAGGAGATGGGGGTGGAGAGAGGGAGGAAGGAAGGGGAGAGGAGTGGAGAGCTAGCTGTAAGATCAAGGGGTAGAGGGGAGACACTTGCAGCATCAATGGGGAGACCAAGAATGGGAGGACAGTGAGGAGGACAGAGAGGACGGAGAGGAGGATGGTGAGGAGGACAGAGAAGACGGAGAGGAGGATGGTGAGGAGGACAGAGAAGAGGACGATGAGGAGAATGGAGAGGAGGACGGAGAGGAGTATGGAGAGGACAGTGAGGAGGACGGTGAGGAGGGCAGTGAGGAAGATGGTGAGGAGGACTGTGAGGATGGAGAGGAGGATAGTGAGGAGGATGGTGAGGACAGTGAGGAGGAGGTAAGGAGCATGGTAAGGGGGAAAGTGAGGAAAACAGGGAGGAGGATGGTGAGGAGGACAGAGAGGACAGAGAGGAGGACGGTGAGGAGTATGGTGAGGACAGTGAGGAGGTAAGGAGCACAGTGAGGAGGACAGTGAGGAAAACAGGGAGGATGGTGAGGACGGTGAGGAGGATGGTGAGGAAGACAGAGAGGACGGTGAGGAGGACAGGGAGGAGGATGATGATGAGGACGGTGAGGAGGTCGTAGAAAGGCAGAGAGACAATCAGGGGCAGGCGGAAAGGAAAGGGGTGCCAGGTTAGCTAGGAGAAGTCAGACCTCAAAGAGGGAAACCAGGGCTCTAAGACAAACAGTGAGGAGAGATGAGGAGAAAGAAGACAAAGAGATGCAAGCAAGGGAAGAGGGCCTGGGCCTCTGCCAGGAGGCTTGTCCTAGGAAGACCTGCCTGCATCCCCTTGCCTCTCTTCTTCCCTCTCACACGGATGTAGCCACCTCCAGGGCGCCCGGGGAAACCTGGAATTGATTCCAGTAATCAGCCTTATTCTACTTGAGTCTGGAAGTCACTGTGGAAAGACAGCAGGGTCCAGCCTGGATGTCCCCCAGTCCTCAGCTACTGCACACACTGGTGTACACACTGTTCCACAGTGAGAGTCTTAGCCCTGAAATCGGTCTTCATGCTGGGGCTCAGCAGTGTCTGCAGTTCGGTTCACAGTTTGTAGGGGCCACCAGGGGCCTCACTAGCCTCTTCCCCAAATACTTTCTGTGAACTGTACAGGGATGGGGAGTTCTTAAGTCTTTTTTTTTTTTTTTCTTTTTTTCTCTTTTTCTCTGAAACAGGGCGCAGGGCCTGTGGTGGACTGGTAATCCATGCTCAGGAAGTATGTGTGAGTTAAAATAAATAAATAAATAAATAAATAAATAAATAAAAGCTACTTTAGTTCCTCCCAAGTCTGAAATATAAAGACTTGATTCCAGCATTGGTTGTTTTGACAGGTGCTTCAGCCCAACTTCACCCCTGGCTATGGACCGGGACATCAGGAAGGAGTGGGAGGCAGATTCCTTGTGATCCTGAGACAAGAATCCAGGCCAGCTTGATGTCGCATAGCTTCCTTCACTGGGAACGGGTGACTGACAGTAGCTTTAGGAATGTAGATGGTTCGAAGGAAGAGTCTAGGATTGGTCAGCCTGGGTTCAAGGGTCTACATTTTGGTGACCAAAATTCAAGGGTCTAGGATTGGTCAGCCCAGGAAAAAAGGTCTAGGATTGAGGGGTGCCTCTGACAGGTCAGACTTGGTTTAACACTGACACCTGAGTTGGCCTGGGCCCAGATGAGCTCAGACACTCAGCATGGTTTCCATGAGCAGCAATCCCTCCCGCAGGGACTCTGACACTTAAGTCTTCCTCCTTGCTCCTCCTGCATGGGTGGCCCAGGACTCTGGGTACAAAGACGCCCCTCCCTGTCTTTTCCCTACCCATCTCAGCTGCCCCACTCTCTCACTGTCCACAGGACAACGTTAAAAGCTCCTCCTCCCCTTGATTGGGTTGGTTAAGTCTCTGGTCACAGCCTCTCCCACAGAAGGCCCAGTCTGGTTGGTGGCAGAAGCCAGGTGGAGGTTTGTTGATGGCAATGGGGAAACACAAGGACCCTGGGCCTCTCTATGCTACCATTGGCTTCTCTACTGCAGAGTCAATGTATAGCAGTCACACAGGGTTTCTGTCACTCACATACACAGATATCTCCCATGGACACTCTTGTCCACATCTGTGCATGATAAACCCAGAGATTTCCACGCCTCAGGCCTCCCCTCCCCATTCTCATACGCTCACGCCCGAGAAAACACCCCCTTGTGTGAAACACACCATATACAACAGGGCAACCAATTAGCAACAAAACTCTCTTTTAATGATAGTGTTGACCTGAGGAATCTTCGAACAGAAAGTTCGTGACCAGAGGCGGCCACTAGCAAAGAACTGGCCCAGGTTCTGGACCCAGAGTCTCTCAGAGAGAGCTGACCTCCATGCGGGAGGGGAGGCCAGGCCCTCTACTACCCAGTGAAAGAAAACTAGAAATTAGTCTGGGGTGGGGAAACACCGTACAAAATACATTCAGATCCCCCTTGGCTGAGCCCTGGGGTGGTCCAAACCCTCCGGATGAGGGCGTTGGGGAAGGAAAAGTAGGTCCTTCTTTTTTTGTGTGTGTGGGCAGTGTCCAAGGGGGCAGAATGTCTTGGTCATATTCCTCTTAAAAAAATATATCTCTTTTCACGAACCTTCTCCAGGGTTCCTGGGCTAGGTGGGAACGCGTGTTCGCTTGCCCCTCAAGGCTGCAGGGGCTGCTCTCTGGACAGAAGAGCGAGGGGCCGTGACTATGGCTTTTGTGTTTATGTAATGGGAACTGAGAAGGGGCTGGAAGAGAAGCCAGAGGGACCCAAGGTGGGGAGCCGGGATCCTGAATGCATGCTTCCTAAAATGTGATCAGTGACTCGAGTCAGAAATCCTTTGGTGTCTCAGCGTCGAGAGCAGCGGAATAATGGGAATGGATAGTCATTCTTTAACCCCGTTTCTGAGGAGTCTCCAGTGGGGGCTGGCCCTGCTGGGCTACAAGCAAGGAACGGGGGGGGGGCGGCGGGGGCGGCGGCGCCGGTTTGGAGCGTAGGGGACAGTTTTGGGTGTGGCTCCCTCCGAGTTGGAGCACTTTTGTTCCCTGCCCTGGGTAGTAAAGGACTCCCTGGTTAAGGGATCAGTCAGGCAGTGTAAGACAGCCATTTCAGGCCCTACTCTGCAAAGATGGGTCCTCGGGGCTTTGTATGTGGCGCACGGCCAACCTGTTGGGTTTTTTTTGGTACCTAAGGGGCTTTGGAAGAAGGATCAAGAACCCCAACATCACCCTCACCCCCAAGACATAGCATGATCAGACAAGACAGAGTTCCTGGAGATGGGACCACACCCAGCTTGGGTCTCATATGTGCTTTAGCCTGGGGGACAGCTCCCACTGTAATGTCAGAGCACCAGTCTCTGTGTACCCCAGAAGTCGGACACCCAAGGTCACGGAGACAGGTCCCAGCCAGCTGTCTGTTACACAGAGGTGGCCTGAGAGAGATCAGGAAGCCGGTGCTTGCTCAGGGGAAGAGGCAGGGGCCCACCCAATCAGAGCAGGGTTCATTGCTTACAAATGTCCATCAGCTGCCACATCCAGAACCTCCCAACCCCTGCCAGATTGTCCTCTCCCTTCTCCCACCAACGGCAGGGACAGGGACACCCCAAACCAGGCAGCCTGCTCTCCAGGGGAAGGTGTCTAGACATCTCCCGAGGCCTCCAAGGGGTCTTTCTTAAAGGCAGGCAGAAGCCTGGGGCTTTGTGCCAGAAGGAAGCCAGCTCTTTGACGCCAAGGGACACGGGGTGTCGGGTCCCCCCCCCCCCACCCTCCCCCCCCATCATCTTGGGCCATAGGCGTCAGGCACCCCAGTGAGGTTGCGGCTGCGCAGTGCTGTGTCCACCATCCTGATGTACGCGGCAATGGTCCTGCGCATGTCGGCCGTGTAAGGGTCATACTCCAGCTTGCGCAGCCCCGAGCGCTTGAAGTTGCCATCTTTCTGGCTCTCCACACAGAGCAGCCGATCCTCCCTGACTGCCACGCCCAGCAGGCTGACCATGCGGCCCAGCTGCGTAAACAAGTCCTGCTTCAGATCCTCGAAGTGAACCACCAGTACCGTCTTGCCAAACTTGAGCCAGTCCAGCGTGTGCGTGGCCCACCACGGGGCATAGTTCCTCACGAACTCGGGCCACTCTGTGGAGAGAGCAGAGCGTCAGCACGCCACCAGATGGGCAGATGACAAACGTTCCAGATTCCTGAAGCCCACATGTGCGTTCTTGGGTAACATACCCTTCTGGCTGGTGCCTGGTTCGCTGCAGACACCGCTCTAGACACAGACCACAGCAAGTGAATAGATACCACCAAATGTGGAGGTACAGATAATGCAGAATTATACAGGAAGGGCCAGGGAGCAGGGAGCACTTGCTTGCCTACCATGCTGGAAGCTCTGGGGTTTGAACTAAGGAACTAGAACTGGGAAGAAGCTTTATGGACATAGACTAATGATCAGAGCTGTCGTTCTGTGGGGGTAGTTGGAATGGTGCAGATCCAGGGGCCAATTACCTTACCTTGGGTTAGTTCTAGACCTCTGGAACCCCTAGGCAGTGACAATTTTGGTTTCTTTTAAAAACGCAGAAATATGAGAATATGCTTTTGTTCTCATCCCAGGTGCAGGTGGGGGCTGCTTCGGACCACCACAGCAGCTGTCTTACGATCTGCCTAGGGCCCTAGCAGGCAAATCATTTTGCCAGCTGCGGATGGTTTCTGCGATTGTGTGACACTGGGGATTCTGAGGACTTTTCCGAGGGTAGATAAACGCTAGGGCCTTGAGTGGGGAGGGTTGTTGATTGTTGTTGGTTGTGGTTTGTTAAGGAGTTGTGCATTAAAAAAAAAAAAAAAGGAAAAAGAAGAAATTAGATATCCTGATGGCAAAGACCAAACTTGCCCCAAGAAACTTGACACCCCTAATCAGCGGGAACTAGTCTAACCATAATAATATCCCTTTTTCTTTCCTCTCTGTCGTTTTTTCTCTCCCATCGGTGTTAGGGGTTGAAAGAAAAAAAAACCTACAAAGTAGCAAAGGTTGCTCTCGGACACCTCTGTGTTAGAACTAACCTCCCCTGACTAATAGAAACCTTTTGGAATCTATTAACAGTTAGCTTCTACCAACCCCAAAGCTAAGAACATCATCAGACCAGCATCCTGGCCCAATAGAAGGGCTTCCCCTGTCTGGTGGTACCCTCCTCTCTGCTGTACCCACCCATGTATTTTAAACTGTCTTGGTTCATGACTTTGTCAAACTACAAACACTGCATGAAAAGGCCTCCACGGTGGAACACAGAATCTGGAGTAACCTACATCTGTGTTTCTGGGTCACGGTCACTCACTGGCTCCAGAATAAGCTCTCTCATATTCCCTTTAAGATTAGAGCTATGGTTCTTATGTCATTGGATAGGGTGACATGTGAGGTTCCAAACATTGGCTTACTTTTTCTCCAGAGCACCTGCTGGGATCCACTGAGCCCTGGCCATCTGGTGATGTTTCCTCAGCTGCGTGGTTGGTGAGTTCTGTCCCGGGCTCCCGACCTCCCGACCTCCCTTGGTTTTATGGACAGCCTGTCTGTCTGTTCTGAGCTGGTTAACAGACCACTGCTTTGTGAGGTATCTCTTTTCGTCTGCTTTCAAAGTATTTGTTTTAAGGTATCTGCTCTTGAGTGCTCGTTTGAAAGCCTTTCAGTCTAACCTTTGGTTTGGCTTGCTTGCACTTGGAACTCTAAAGACATTTCAGATTCAGCTGTTTAGCTTGTTTTCCGTGTATTTCGTTTGCTTTGGGCGTTCTGAGGGCTTTTTGGTTTGTGTTTAGTGGTGATTTTCCTTGTCTTTGACAAGTTTTGATTTGTTAAACTTTTGGCCTTTGTTTCCCTCCTCTTCAAATGGTTAATTCTGCTTTTTTCCCCCTGCTACTTCTCCTGTGACCTTTAGCTTAAGAGGTTTATGGTCATCTAATGATAGAGCCACTGGAGACAAGAGATACAAGTTCTCTCTCACCCTACCCCATCCCACCCACCCCACCTCACCCTAAAGTGTGCTGAAGTCAAGGGGAACTTCTCAGTACGTGCAGTGGGGGAAACATACTCCATTCTTTTTGTTAGGGGTTTTTGCTTTGTTTTTGGAGACAAAACTTCCCTGTGTAGCCCTGGCTGTCCTGAAACTTGCTCTGTAGACCAGGCTGGCTTCAAACTCAGAGAGCAGCCTGCCTCTGCCTCCGGAGTGCTGGGATATTGGCTCTTTGGGAAAGATACATAGGAAGGTTTGCTCACCCCAGTCTCGCGTTCCTCCATGTTTGTGTAAACTTGTAGGATAACCACCAAAACCAGCGCATAAAAGTGACCCAAAACACATGCTCCCTAGTTAGGACAGACAGGTGACTTTTCAGGAGAAAACGAGAGATAAGCGAGGGAGAGAGGGGGAGGGGGGAGAACAAGGCTTCCAGAAAGGAGGAAGTGCCTGCAGACAAGTGGCCATCTGGTCTTTTAGCAGGCTCTGTGACTCGGTGAGCGATAATTGCTGCCTAACTTGCAAGCACTGGGGGTGGGGGAAGGGAAAGAAAACAGACTACAGATAAGGAAGCACTCTCCTTCTCCAGGTTTAGGTTTTGGCGGAAGAACGGAGTTCTTAAAAGTCGCAGATCGGCAGCCGCTTTAACTAAAACATAAAACGTTCTCCAATACGTGATCGAATTGGCAACTCAGAATAGTACTGAGCTCTTCGAGTCATGTGAGTTACAGTAAATGTAACAAACAGACAAATAAACCAACCAAACCCCCTCCAAAAACCAAACCAACCAAACAAAAACAAACAACCCTCAAAAACAAACAAACAAAAAAACAAAAAACACCACACCAAACCAACCAAACCTTAGAAATAAACTCTGCCTTTAATCTCAGCACTTGGGAGCAGAGGCAGGTGGATTTCTGAGTTCCAGGCCAGCCTGGTCTACAGAGTGAGTTCCAGGACAGCCAGGGCTACACAGAGAAACCCTGTCTCCAAAAAAACAAAACAAAAGTGGAGCCGGGTGGTGGTGGGGCACGCCTTTAGTCCCAGCACTTGGGAGGCAGAGGCAGGCGGATTTCTGAGTTTGAGGCCAGCCTGGTCTACAGAGTGAGTTCCAGGACAGCCAGGGCTACACACAGAAACCCTGTCTCGAAAAAAATAAAAAATAAAAAAATAAAAAAATACAAAACCAAAAACAAAACCACCACCACCACCTTTTTAAAGGGGTTTATGTCAAAACAAAGGCAAACTCTAAAACAGCTGGCCGGCCTTCCTTTCCCTGGTCTGAGTCTTTGTCTCCTCCTGTTGTACAGTTTCTTTGAGAAGCCTGTTTTCCTTTCCTTCTCATGCTTATTTCAGTGTCTTCCTTTCAGCCTTAAAGCCCAAAATCTCAGCTTGGCCCGAGCTCGGGGGACTCCTCAGGCTATTAACCTGATGTCTGTGCCCTTCTCCAGCATTCCTAAGGACTTAAGCTGAGCCCCATCTTCAAGGGGAGTTTCCTGTCTGCTCTCCCAACTGTGAGGTCCTGTGTTCCTTTGCTTCCATGGGGTCTAAACAAGAAACTTTGTAGATGTTTGAATGGCCCTGACACCAACATAGACGTTTCTCAGACCCACCCAGCTCTGCCCCTCGGTCATTTGTGTTGGTATCAGGCTCCGAACTCAGTGACATCACATCTAGGCAACCCCCACATCGTTGCCAAGGCAACCGACATACATTCTCAGAGTCCACCTGGCTACCTCCCACCTTCACCTGGGAGAGGCACCGCCCACATAAAACAGGCAGAACCCCCTGACCTCGCTCTCTTCTTCCATATTCCTCTTCTTCTCCCCCATGCCCCCCCCCATCTTTGCCCTATCTCCTGAATAAATCCCACTTGGAACCGTTTGGTCTGGTGCGGTCTGTTCTAAGCCTTGTGAGGACGTATTTCAGTTTGTAGGAACATGTGGCTTTTCTGGACATCATCATCATAAAACTTGATCTCCCGAGTGACCAGTCTAGCAGAAATGAAGATATTCTCAAGAGATACGTGTATGTCTCAGACTGACTAACAGACTGTGAAGCAATGGACCCCAAGGATATAGAATAACCCCCAGGATCTCATGCTGGGAGAAGGAGGGGTTGCTAGCTGGAGGGGAACTTGTCTCCCTGAGAGTGATTTCAGTTATGGCAACATTCTAACACCTTATAGACAAGCCTGAAGCCCAGACAGAGACAGTAACGGACTGGTCACCCCTCTGAGATTTTTTACTTCAGGTCCCTAAAGACAGACTTGAGGGGTTTGCCAGATCTCATTGTCCCCCTTCCCACTGTGGTCATGTCGACTAAATCTCCTTTTTCTTCTTTTAATGGCCCTTTCAATGGTCCTAAATCTTTCTTTGGGACAATTAGTATGTTTTCAAATTTAAGCATTTTAATAACATGAATAACATTAATAACAAGATACAATTCTGATGAAGCCGTCATCTCCTTGGTCCTTATCCAGTGGAGGGTATGAAGAAACTATGACACAATCTCTCTTCTCTAGCAAACATTTTTCCTAGTGACAGTTGCTGCTCTCTCCCCTCACTCTGCCGGGCCCCAGACACCAAGTTCTTTATCCCAGAGATTAAAAAGCTAGCTCATGTCTGTGCTTTAGATATGTTTATCTTGTTTATCTGTGAGTATTTATATCCATACCAACATTTCAGGAATAGTTTTGAGCACCACTGTCTCTTTAAAAGGGGTGTTCAAGATCTGTATCTTGGCAAGGCCAGTGTGCGAGAAAACCCTAAATGTGTATTTTTTGATTTGTCATTTTAAAAACCTCCTTTGGGGTTTGCATAGACATCTTAGAGTTTACAGATCTTCTTAATGTATGACACTGTAATTAGATATTTAAAGGAATTATTCAACTCTTTTTAATTAAGTCATAAAGTCATGAATGCTAAGCTCTGTCATACCCTGGTCACCTCATACTTTTGATAACCTGGTAAAGACCGATAAAAGGAAATGCTTTCCCATCAGTGACAACCAAAAACGGAACATACACAAACGCAAAACACTTCAAGGCTCCTGTTACAGTGGCTTAAATCTCTAACAGACATTTAATTTAAATCTGGTCAATGTGTTTTACCTGGGTTTATAACTATTGGGTATCGA